GTCTCCTTCTACAGGGTTACTGATAGGTCAGTTGATACAGGGTTTCTGATTGTCAGTTGGTACAGGGTTTCTGGTTGTCAGTTGATACAGGGTTTCTGATTGTCAGTTGATACAGGGTTTCTGATTGTCAGTTGATACAGGGTTTCTGATTGTCAGTTGGTACAGTGTTTCTGATTGTCAGTTGATACAGGGTTTCTGATTGTCAGTTGGTACAGTGTTTCTGATTGTCAGTTGATACAGGGTTTCTGATTGTCAGTTGGTACAGTGTTTCTGATAGGTCAGTTGATACAGGGTTTCTGATTGGTCAGTTGATACAGGGTTTCTGATTGTCAGTTGGTACAGTGTTTCTGATTGTCAGTTGATACAGGGTTTCTGATTGTCAGTTGATACAGGGTTTCTGATTGTCAGTTGGTACAGGGTTTCTGATAGGTCAGTTGATACAGGGTTTCTGATAGGTCAGTTGATAAAGAGTTTCACATAGGTCATGTGACAAGGTCAAATCAGACTGCATGTTTGATGGGTCACATGACACAGGGTGTTTGATGGGTCACATCAGAGACTTTCTGATCAGTCACATGATAGTCTTTATGATTGGTCACATGACACAATCTATCGTTTAAATCACATAACAGTTTTTCCTAAAAGGTCACATGATACATGTTGTCTGATGCAACACCCAAAGTTGAACCAGTGCTAACGCAACAAGCGCCACAAGACCAAAGGCAGTGATTGAAATCCCATCTTGTTCATACACACCTCTAAACCTGACCGACAAAGCCACATTCATGTTCACAAACATCACAGAATTTAACTCCAGTAACAGTGTCAAAGCAGTATCCCACAGATGATTGGCATATCTGAAACTTAAAGGACCCTTTGCCCCAGATCCCATTACAACCGATGGCAGTACCACTGCAGCATGACAAAGGCTTGGAACCTGCTGTGTGTGTTTTGTTGAGAAGGCCCTGATGGACAACGCAAACATTGACACAAGGAAGGAGCTCATGGATGCTTCCTGGTTTGTCTCTAACAGTTATGCTGTGGATATTGCTAAAGTCAATGCATTGTGTTTAATGAGAAACAATCGCACCAAACCATCAAAGGGGCTTCGGTTGGCTGATAGACGTTAGGTTTGCTCTCTGGAGCCTGTAGTCAGCTAAATTGAGCCTAATTGAGGATAAGTGACATTTGGGCATTGGTAGAGACATGGCAGGAGATCGGCATCTCTCCGCTGATATAATGCAATGTCCCACAGGACGACTAGGTAGTGGTGATTAGTGATATTAGTTAGGTCCGGCCTTGTTGCTGAGGGGAAGCTGTTGCTCCATCACAATGTGTACATGCAATAGGATTCGATAACGGTGTCGTAACTCTGGTGGTTTGAACATGGGTAAAACAGGCAGGGCTTGTGTTTTATCTAGACTGCGTTAATGGTGTACTGGAGTTGATGATTCTGATGGTTGTAGTGGTGTACACACAGAAATGTCATATGGTCTTGTAAATGTTACCAGTCTCTCACAGTCTCCTAGGCAACATATGCGAGTCATAGCGTCAGCTGAGCCAATGTGCTATATCATGATTAATATATTCATTCAAATTAGCGAAGAAAACATTGCAATATTTGAATATATTATGCCTGATAGAATAATAGTTTCAGATATAACTCTTCCAATAACCATAAAACCATCTCCAAGAGATACTGAAACAAATTTAGAAATCTGCATCTAGATCAAGTTTTGAAAGGCATTTAGAAGTTGGATGAACATGAATACATGACACATTTTATGGATAACAACTTCTTTTTTATTCTTTACACAAGGTTTCAGAGCTAATTCTTGCTCCTTCATTCACCTGATGAAGGAGCCAGAATTAGCTCTGAAACGTTGTGTAAAGAATAAAAAAGAAGTTGTTATCCATGAAACGTGTCATGTATTCATGCATCTAGATCCTCTAATGCTGCGTGAATAAAGGTGTATTGTTAACTGGTGTTCATGAACATAGGGTGAATCTGTAATATGTCCAAATTGGACTAGTATTCTTGAACATAGGGTGAATCTATAATATGTCATGAACATACCGTAAAGCAGTAACATGTCCAAGACGAAATTGGAACAAGTTGTTCTGACATGAAGATTTATTTCAGATTGTATCCTTTGTTCATGAACATCGGGTAGATGCATAAGACGTTCAAATGTGGAAATCTTATGTCCACAATTCATAATCAAGTTGATTGTGTAACCAGCATGGGGCACTGGTGCAGTTCAAGCTATTTCTCAGTAAGACCCTGTAAAAGGAGAAAGCAGTCTTCACTTCATGAAAATGAAGTGAGGTGAGGTGAAATTGGGTTTTTAACGCCGTGCTTGAGAATATTTCGCTCATATGACGACGTGCATGCGTGTGTATGTGCGGCTGCTTGTACTAGCCCAGACTTAAGCTGGTTTTATACCATGAGATACCATGCCGCAGTGAAGCATGAATACCCCACTCACACACATTATACTGACTCCGAGCCAACCAGTCCTTGTTAACCTATTAATGCCGAGCGCCAGGCAAGGACCAACAAGTACCATATTTTAACGTCTTTTGGTATGACACGGTCGGGGATCGAACCCGTGACCTTCCGCTCTCTGGGCGGACGCTTGAACCACTACACCACGGAGGCGGTCCCTTCACTTCATGAAGTATTAAGACATCGTGATACTTCATTGTAGTGGAGTACATGGGAGTTGTTTTTAACTGGTGGTTTGTTGTTGAAGTTCTTAAATGGACTGACAATGAGATATCCAAATTATCCCTAGTCCTCCAATTTATTTTTCTGGTACATTGTATATACTTCTGGATATTGAGGAGGACTCTTGGACATAGAAGGTGTATCAGAAATTGTAGCCTGACATTATGTTTTGGAGAAAACTTGTTAATATATTGATTGTCAACAGCTTAACATACCAGATCAGACCAAAGTTTACTAGTACAGGCTTTAGACAAGTTGCAGACGCTGTAGACGCTGCTGTCCAGGGCAGGTCAAGATTATTCCTGTTGCCCAGGACTCAACACTTGACTCCAACGTAGCCTGTTTGCTTGAGGCTGGTGAAATATTATATGGGTTTAGGGAATACCATTGCTGCTAATGCTGTTATTGAAAATGTTCAAACAAGTCAATTTTCGCAATGTCTGGAATTTATCTAACCGGGTGCTTGACAGATATTAAGTTATGTAACCCTTGAACTAAATGTTGGAATTTAGTTTAACAGTGCATTATACCCACATTTTCTCAGTAAATAAGTATAATACGGAGTATTTCTATTCCACACAGCTCAGGAGCATGCTCGTGAAGCAGAATCCTCTAATCCTCATTGAAATTGAAATCCTTAGATGAACCTGACCTGATTGGATGTGTGTTTGATAAATTAAGCAGTGAAATAACGTTTCTGAGATAAAGAAAGTTTATGAGATTCTAAGTTTATCAGTAGAGATAACTAATTATCTTAGTTATCATCTCACTCCCATCAACCCAGAACATTGTCATTACAGACTGGGTTCAGCCATGCTACTCAATCCCATGTCAGAATTTAGATTTTTTATCAACAGTCATGATAATATACTTTGTATTATTATGACAACCGATCAGACCACTGATAAAATTGTTTAATTTCAAGTTGTATGGAACAGCTGGTGTGTCTAGGAAACCAATTTATATACTTTCTGCATGAAAACAATATTTGCGCATATTGGACATTTAGTCGTGTCACCTGGGATAGTAATGGCCACTAGTCTGTCATGGTGTCCTCCTATAAGAACTACAGCTAAAAACAACACATGTTATGGTCCAGTGCACAGATTAACTACATGCTGTCACCTGCGTCTGCTTAATGGATTTGCCCAACAGAAAACAAATAAAACATATATAACATTTGGATGAACAAGTCCTATTTTCCAAATGTCTAGTTACATTACATGATCACCAAGCTGAAAAAATGTCGTATTGGTTCAATATGACCAGTGGAGTCTAACCTTATCACATTTTGGATGCAGTTATTAAAGATGCTGGTTCTTGTGCATTTGATCTTTTGAAATTAAACATTTTGATAAAAGTGAATATTAATTTCATTAACAAAATACTAATGAATTAACCCCCTTTAATCTGTCTCAATGGAAATACTTCAAAGAAAGTCATAAAAAACGTAGCACCGATAAGAATATATATCACCATACACTAATTAGCGCAATTTAATACGAGGACTACTTGACAGCTATGGAAGGTCATCCAGTGCTGAGGCCATCGGAGATGCATTAGTCCTGGCAGATCATGTGACCGCGTGTTCATGTGATGGGAAATATGCCCTATGAGCTCATGTCCAATAAATCAAGCAGTGCCGAACATACGTTATCAATAACCCGACCGAGCAATTTATTGGAGTGTATACCTGCCATTTTAACCTTTCTGTCTCACAGAATGGTCATGGCACCGGCCTCAGGCAATTATCTGTTTAAATATAGCCAAACTGGAGGAAATAAGCATTGGCAAAATAGAAATTCTAAGCCATTGTTCACTTGAAATGACTGTTATTGTAAGACCCTCCGAGAACGTGGGGGCATCATAGAACGGAATGGCCATTAACTCTTTGTCAGTGTCAGACAGATTATCATAAATTCTTTGAACAGTTTTGTCCCATATTCTTTCCAAGAGGAGCACGTCAGTGTGTCAGCGAATGAGAGTAGGTTCGCAGTGTTACAGATGACAAGAAAATCTGAGAAAAACACTGTCCTGCCCGGATGTGTAGATCACTGCGCAATGATTCTGGATAAATCCCAAACTGCCAGGGACTTGTATCTTATTTCAACAGATAAAAGCAGGCTGTTGTCTTTTTGTTAACATAACACATGTTATATTTGGGATTACACTTTCTTAGTAAAGTACAGATTCTAGAACTTTTGTTGGGTTGAGTCCCATCCGGGATTCGAAACTACACCCTCAGAGTCAGGCACTTAATCGCCAGCACACAAAGTCAGCCGCCTAACCTGCTCAGCCACCGCGGCTTCCACAAAAATGGAAGTCGGACAACTGGTAGGCTGTACCCTCTGATAAGTGTAAATTGGCACGGCTCCCATGGCCGAAAGCTATGATTACACAATGGCATTTAGAAAGTGGTCAAATGTAACATATGTTAAAGTTGGAATTACACCTTCTTAGTTAAGTACACATTCTAGTAACAGATTTGTTAACATATAACAAAAGTGATGATTGGCATGATACAGAATGTATTGTCATTCAAGGGTTATAACACTAGGTATTTGCTATATCGCAAGTGCAATGTTGATCTGAACAATCTCTCACAAGGTTTACAGTGTTTGCCCTAGTATAAAAATTGAGGAGGTAAATGAGAGGGAGTCATGGACATGTTTTGGGAGTCTTCAGTTTGGAACTTTCATCAAGACATCAGCTTTGATTGTTTAATAATGACAAAAAACATCCTCGGTCAAAAAATAAAACAAGCTGTCATCACAGTCATCACACGGAAACCAAAGTTAAGATTATCTGAACTAAGGGCCCAGTACCATTGCATCAACAATGGCACAAGCTTCTAAATTCACTGCGTATTTGAGATAATTTGTACGTCAAATATGCAGGTTTTCTGCGTCATGGCAAACACTGGGTTTTCACAGTTCTGAAAAGGCCTTCATCCAGCCAGTCTGGACCTGGAAAGACTTTAGTTTCTCTGTCTTAGGTTGTGTAATCTGATAAAATGTCTTGGAAAATGGCCTCCAGTGCTGGTCCTTTTCTGGTGCTCATAATTCATGTGCAAGTCCTCACTGATTTTATCTGATGCATTTAATATATGGTGTGCACCAAATGATTTTTATGGGCTGTAATATGATAATCCAATATTTTACGTTTGTATTGATTTCCAATGGTATGAGGCCTGTTGTCACTACTTCCTGCTTGCTGACTCGGTGCGGGGTGATGGGGTGGAAGGTTCGTTGAAGCGAGGCAGGATCAGCTGATGGACAAGCACGCATTTCTCCCACTTGTGTCATGTGCATGATAGATTGTAATTCCAGTATAGAATAAGTCTCCAGTACCCCATGCTTGTCTTCTTTCGAGGATTTAAGTATAGAATAAGTCTCTAGTACGTAACGCTTGTCTTCCTTTGGGGATTTATGTGTAGAATAGGTTTCCAGTACCCCATGCTTGTTTTCCTTTAGGAATTCCATTATAGAATAGGTCTCTAGTACACAATGCTTGTCATCTTTTGGGGATTCCATGATAGAATAGGTCTCCACTACCTAATGTTTGTCTCCAGAGCGTTCCAGAACTACATAAACAGCAGTACCTCATACCCCTCGAAGATTGCAAACTCACTCAGAGGCGCCATGCTTCATGCTTCCTCTAGGGAACAAACGGCCCTAGTCCCCAAACTCCTTCAGAGGCACAACAGACTCCATGACCTCTTGCTTCCTCTGGGAACAAACGGCCCTAGTCTCCCAAACTCTTTCAGAGGCACAACAGACTCCATGACCTCTTGCTTCCTCTGGGGAACAAACAGCCCTAGTCTCCCAAACTCCTTCAGAGGCACAACAGACTCCATGACCTCTTGCTTCCTCTGGGGAACAAACGGTCCTAGTCTCCCAAACTCTTTCAGAGGCACAACAGACTCCATGACCTCTTGCTTCCTCTAAGGAACAAACAGTCCTAGTCTCCCAACTCTTTCAGAGGCACAAACAGACTCCATGACCTCTTGCTTTCCTGGGGAACAAACAGCCCTAGTCTCCCAAACTCCTTCAGAGGCACAACAGACTCCATGACCTCTTGCTTCCTCTGGGGAACAAATGGTCCTAGTCTCCCAAACTCCTTCAGAGGCACAACAGACTCCATGACCTCTTGCTTCCTCTGGGGAACAAATGGTCCTAGTCTCCCAAACTCCTTCAGAGGCACAACAGACTCCATGACCTCTTGCTCTCCCAAACTCCTCTGACCTGCTTGGAACAAACGGTCCTAGTCTCCCAAACTCCTTCAGAGGCACAACAGACTCCATGACCTTATGCTTTCTCTAACTTAGTCTAAGGAACAAACGGTCCTGGTCTCCCAAACTCTTTCAGAGGCACAACAGACTCCATGACCTCTTGCTTCCTCTGGGGATAAACAGATCCCAGGAGCTCATGCTTCCTCTAAAGCAGTTACACCTCAGTCCACTATGTTCCCACTTGGCCAGCATGTATCCCAGTACCTCATCCTTTCTCAAAGACAGAACTATGGCAGACAAACAAAGGGTGCTTTTAATTATTTGATGATTCCTTAGCATTTAGTTAAACAATTTTGTTTTGAAATATGTTGCCTGGTTGTCTATTTATATTGTGACTTTTGTTTACAGGAATTAGCAACAGTAAACAAGGAACTAAATCAAGCACGGGAACACTTACTAGAGAGAGAAGAGGAAATAGCGGAACTTAAAGCAGAAAGAAATAATACTAGGGTAAGTTGTAATATTTGCCAGATTTACAGAATGTGAATCTTATGCTTTTTGTCATGTCAGTACACACTGCGTTCATGTATGTGGCCACAATCTACATATAATGGCTCTTGCTTTCTTGGACTGATTCAGCTCCACAACTTTTCTGAATGACATAACACTACAAAAGTACACTGTTTTCATAAATAAGCAAATTTTTTTATTGTTGAAGGCCACACTCCGCAATATTACGGCTGTGTAATGGTATTCTGTAAATACAGGAGTCTGGACCAGACAATCCAATGATTGATATCATGAGCATCGATCTGCCGAAATGGGATATGATAGCAATAGCACAACTAATCCACTTGTTGTGCAGCATCTCAAATACCACTTGCAGCATTCTTCTCAGTCTCATAATTATGGAACATGTGAAGATCCGGGTTAGAATTGGTCTTCAGCAACCCATGCTTGTGGTAAGAGGCGAGTAACGGGATCGGGTGGTCAGGCTCACTGACTTGGTTGACACATGTCATCATATCTCAGTTGCTTAGATAAGCACTCATGATGTTGATCACTGGATTGTCAGGTCTGGACTCGATTATTTACAGACCGCCACCATATAGCTGGAATATTGCTGAGTGCACGTTAAACAACATACAGACATAATCATGGATGCAAGGAGCCATGTGTGAAGGAAATGGAAGGTCGGGCACTGTGACTGGTTTGATGGCAGGTCATTCTGACCCAGTGCCACAAATGATTGTTCATGCTTTCAGTCACAGGTTTTAGTGGTTCAGCTGTCACTAACAGGCAGCAGTGGTGGAGTTGGGTTGAGTTGGGCTTTATGTCACATCGGCATTATTTCAGCCATATAGTGATGAGATCAAGTCTGCATTCATAAACATTTTAAGTACAAAGTCCAAATTAGTTGTATGTTAAGAACATATATATTCATTACATTATTATTTTAAAACAGAAAATGTCATAGCACCAAATTCAAAAGCAAGCAATTTAAATTACATAGTTACAATTTATAAAACAGGTCAACTTCCCTCAGGTAGTTAACAATGAGATGCCCGCTCACGCTGGAAAACAGATCTTTCAGATTTCTTGCATCATAATGTGCATCCCTTGCAGTTGAAAATTCCGCACAGTCAATCAGAATATTTCCCAATTGCGCAGATCGATGCTCATGCTGTAGATCACTGGATTGTCTGGTCCAGACTCGATTATTTACAGACCGCTGGCATATTGCTGAGTGGGCGTAAAACTAAACTCACTCACATTAGCTGTTTCAGTGACAAGATTAAAACCTATGATATGACGTAGGCTGCATCCCTAAATAGAACTCCAAATATCAGGTATCAAGAAAGATGGGCTTTAAAATCTGTTCATCAGCTTGGCTGTGAAATTGGAGGCAATGAGTATTTCACTAAAGTTTTGAGAACTTGACAATCCCGGATGAGTCATGATTTGATGAAAGCTGGTTTGAGCCTCAAACCTGCAGGGGCTGCACAGTTAAGAAGCGATAATCTTCTGCAAGGCTCATGTTTCCCTTACACATTTCTCAAAGCCTCTGCCCTCACAATTCCTTGTCTCATCTTCCCATAGGACATCCGAGTTGATATGCTTCTCAAGATAGACTGAAACATCTCATACTGCCTACTCAGGTTCGAAAGTTGTGCATTTTTGCCTATTGATGAATGGTTTCTTTCCAAAAAGTTTTAAATTGCTTCCTATCTCTGTGTCTCCATGGGGATTGCCAGGAAGAACAGGTATATCCAATTCTCCATGTTTAGCAGTTGCTGACAACAGGAGGGATCAGCTGGTATCCAGGTGCGACCTTGTTGTTGGTGCGTTGGTGTTCACTTACAGGTGGATCACTGATCTCATTTTCAGTCTATAGTGATTATAATACGATCCCCCCCAAAGAACTGGAATATAACCATGGCGTCAAACAGCTTGTACTCACTCACCCTGTGATGGTTTCGTAAGAAAACATAGTTCTGTGGTTACCTTGGTGCTTAACCCATTCAACACCGTAGGCCGGAAAACCGGCCAAGACGTCACGAGTCCCCAGACACCGTAGGCCGGAAAACCGGCCAGGCAGTAGTCGCATCAAAATGATATATAATTTTAGGAACCTAACTAACATATGATTCGTTTATCAAATCTATCACTTTTCATAATGCCTGAAAACACTTATTACATTTCAAATGGCCATATATAATCGACAGAATTAGAATTATGAACTATTTTTTTGCAATGTTATTGAAAAAAACGATTCTCAGACACATGCTTCGGCAACGGGTCCACATCAGAGAAAATTAACGATGTTTCGAGGAAATAATTAAACAAATTAAATAAACTGAAGAATAAAATCAACAACAGTACTCATAAAAGTTGTCAAACGAACATTATAACTTACTATTTCCATCTTTATTGTGCGATCGTGTAATGTAATTCAAGTGACATCTCGGCTTTCGTCTCTTCGAACTTTACGCTCGGACACGAAGGTTAATGCTAAAATATATGCATTAAAGTTTCTTGTCACAGGTCATAACCTAGCACTAAGTTCCATAATATACGCATAGATGGTGATTTTTTGCTTAACACGTTCAGAATAGCATGATTTTACCCAAAACTTTCGTCTGAACCTGCAGGTTTTCGTTTACGACGACAGTAACCATTGCTGTTATCTGATTGGCTGCCTTAGGTCACGTGTCTGATTTTGACCAATCACGATCCTTATAGCAGACTGAGGCAAATAAGCGTCATTAGAAACCAATCTTTATCCAATAAAAGCGCTTCTTACAACTGTGAAGATACTCTTGGCAATGGTACAGTGATATTGTTGATGTTCAGAGCTTTCGAACGATACCCGCCATCAAACGAATCGCCTCACATGTTATTCATACGAAGCCTCGAAAACGGAGGTATTTCACGCTGTTGTATCACGTTACCGAGCAGAAAGCCACAGATATCGGGAAATAGACAACCATACATATTAATTCAGAAATATTTTTATAATAATTTTCCGATTACGTAACAATGAAAATATAAAAGAAAAAGGTAAGGGGATATTATGAAATGTTACAAAGGGATATAAATCGCCTCATTTTTTGCTTCCTTCGTGGTTTATCTGGACATATAAATGTGTAAGCCTGCATTTTCATTAAAAATTAACTTATTTAAGTTGTAGTCGTATTACTTGAATAATATGATAAAAAATAACTTTCATATTTATAAACAGTAGGATTAGACCTTTCAAATGGTGTATGATATGTAGTAGTAATAATGATTTACGAGCTGAAAATTTTCAATGATAAACATAGGCTTCATCTATGACCTCAGAGTGTCTGGGAACTGCGGTGTCATGGCAGTAAGTGCCTCTGGTTGACTGGTGTTGAAAGAGTTAAGAGAGGACAACTATATTGTGACATTGCTGCTAAAGAGAAGACAACTCTGTTCTAACATTGTTGCTTGTGAGAGGACAACTATTGTGACATTGCTGCTAAAGAGAAGACAACTCTGTTCTAACATTGTTGCTTGTGAGAGGACAACTATATTGTGACATTGCTGCTAAAGAGAAGACAACTCTGTTCTAACATTGTTGCTTGTGAGAGGACAACCATTGTAACATTGTGACATTGTTGTGACTAAAGCTAGAGAAGACAACTCTGTTCTAACATTGTTGCTCGTGAGAGGACAACTATATTGTGACATTGCTGCTAAAGAGAAGACAACTCTGTTCTAACATTGTTGCTTGTGAGAGGACAACTATATTGTGACATTGCTGCTAAAGAGGAGACAACTCTGTTCTAACATTGTTGCTCGTGAGAGGACAACTATATTGTGACCTTGCTGCTAAAGAGAAGACAACTCTGTTCTAACATTGTTGCTCGTGAGAGGACAACTATATTGTGACCTTGCTGCTAAAGAGAAGACAACTCTGTTCTTAAACATTGTTGCTCGTGAGAGGACAACTATATTGTGACCTTGCTGCTTAAGAGAAGACAACTCCGTTCTTAAACATTGTTGCTCGTGAGAGGACAACTATATTGTGACCTTGCTGCTTAAGAGAAGACAACTCTGTTTTGATCTGACCACTAAGTATAAGATAACTCTGTTCTGTTCTCACTGCTTGTGAAAGGACAACTCTGTTGTGACCTGGCTTTTGAAGAGAAGACAACTGTTTTAATCTGACTTCTAAGGAGAAGACAGTTATATTCTGACATGACTGACATTAGAAAAATAGTCCCCTTAAAACCGAAATGTGCATCTTGTAATTAGGGGCCGTTCATAATTTATGCCTAGGAGGGGTGATGATGATTTTTATGGAGAGGCATGTACAATGTGACTGCCCCCCCCCCCTAAAATTCATGTTCAAAGTAAGTGACCCCCCTGGATGTCATGTACAAAATCAATGACACCCCCCTTCCCATATTTTTAAGCGTACTTTAAAAAAATAATTTTTTGTATAAAATTGCAGAACAAAATGGGTGACCCCCCTCTTAAAATTATCATCATCCCACCACCACCCACACCCTACCATCCATCCCCACCACCCACAACCACCATCACCCTAGCCATAAATTATTAACGGTCCCTTACACACATCAACAATCTTTTGGCTTTTGTGAATTTAGTCCATTTTGTGCAAGAACCAATTTTACATTAGTTGTTGCAGTGTCAGTTCATCAGTGAAGATGCATGTTTTGACATCTCATGCTTGGAGTTCATGCCATGACATTGCTGGAATAGTGCAAGATTGGCAGAAACAACCCGATGATTGACAATCTCATTTATATCAAAAATACTCCAGTAGAATATCTCTGTGTGAAGATCCTGCACCTTTCACTGGAGGTAGCTGACATGAACACACCAAACCAGTCACTGCTGGTCCTAAATTGGAACAGAATGTTTGTGTTCTACCTGATTCTTAAAATCAAGCTGGTGAAGATTTGGTGAAGATTTGGTGATGCCCTTGTAAGGAGAACCAATGTAACTTGACTGGACAG